GGCAGAGCCTGACATATCAGCAAAACCAGTGTCCTCAGCTCTTCTGTTAAAATTTGGCTGAGGCTTTGTTGTTATGCTTTGCACTTCCCGTGCCACACTCCAGCTATGCCACATAAACCCACCAAGAGAACTGCTGCGAACATCTGGCTGTGCTGACTGAAGTCTTCCTGAAAAGGTCTCAACCAGCTGCAGGAGACTTTTCCACCTGACTCTTCTCAGATCTTTTCAGGCCTGCAAACCACCTACCAGCTTCTCTTCAGCTGCAGAACAGTGGCAAGAAAAAACTCCCTGACATCCATCCAAAGAGGGGAAACCACGTCAGCACGATTCAAAAATCAACAGGTTTGGCAGAGAACGCACAGCTGATGATGCACAGGTTGTGCATCACTACCCTAACGTGCACAGTCTCAAGTTACACATCTGACAGACAAAGATGATGTCAGTTCTGCTAGAAAAAGGCAAATCTTTCACTGCAGGGGGGAAAAAAAAAAATCAAAAAGCCTTTGTCCCTCTGCATGAAAAGCTGGAAGCACTGCTTTAGGGAAGCCAGCTGCCACCAGTTATCCAAAGAGCAGACCGATGTCCCAGAACATAAAGCTTTAGCTCCCTCACAATAATAGACCTCCAGAGGTTGACAGTGTGAACCAGTGATGGTATCTACAGCAGAGAGCCTAACATTTAATTGACAGACAACAGAGTTAGAAGTTATTTCACTGCTAACTTTTACAGTGCCCAGCCAGAAAAGCATTTCGATTCCATTACAGCAGTTTCAATTTCTGCAACTGGTATCACAAACTTTTGAGGGTAACAAGAGTTACACAACCCTAGCCCAGTTCAGCCTTACAACTGTTTGTCCCTTCCCTGGTGAGAACCAAAGACTTGTAACATGCCAGTTCTGTATTTTTCTTCTGGTAACCTCAAGTATTAAACAACAATAATAATAATTACTTAACTTGAACTATTTCCTGAGGGAGGGGGAAGTATCCTCTCTCCCCTCCACTCCTCATACAAGGATGCTTGCCATGCCTACTATGAAAACTCCTGCAGAATTTGATTAGATCAAGTTTTCCAAACCACCATTGTTTAAGGAAGAAAATTATCAACGGCCATAGCCCTCGTTTCCTTTGGCATCAGATGTGAAAACACTGCTCACTAGTAAAGTCTGCCCACCTCATTAGTAACAGCACTGTAAAATATGCTGCAGTTTCACAACTTGCAAGGTGAATATGAAAACACAACATTGCCTTTGAAGCTTACATCTCTGAGCCTTTGAAACACACATTTCCTCTGCAAAGAGGAGTGCTGTCTTTCTGTTTAAGGCTGATTTCTGCACTCTCCCCAGTGGCAGCAACACATCAATCCCTGAGCTCTCCCTTGCCTGATTAAAATTCACACTCAACATAGCATTTACACCTAGACAAGTAACCAGCTGGGTTTTCTCTCTCCTGAACCATAAGCGCTAGAACGAAGACAGCATTGCTCAGCCGCACTTGGGAAACCTACTAGAAAAGACAGAAGGGAAAAAAAACAAACAACACAGAAATAGAATTAAACACCACGCATCCAAACGAAGCCACCTGGAAGAACCACGGATGCCTGACCCGACGGGCATCACCCCCGCGAGACCGGCGGCAGGTCCCGGCCCCGAGGAACCCCCGGGACCCCCCAACCCCGGCGGGTCCCGTCCCGTCCCGTCTCACCGGGCCCGTAGAACTTGCTGCCTTTGGTCACGTCGAAGACTTTGCCGTTGACAGCCAGGAGGATGCGCGGGTTGCGGGCGCCGTCGAACTCTCGCAGCTGCTCGAG